CAGGGGATGGTAAATGGCCTGCAAGTTGCAGTCCTTTTCAGGGTGCTCAGGGGAAGAGTGGTCACCCAACTGGTCCAGCTCACAGTTTATGGTCAGCCAAGCTGAGAGTCCCTCTTGGGCTTGGTGACCATAACCAGTTTCCCTGCTCCACTGCTTAGTGACTCTATCGGCTCAGGCACCCCCATTCCGTCTGTGTCTCCTGGGATCCTGAAACCACAACGCCTCACCTAGAATTCTGCCCTTTTCATCCCCTGAGCCCCTTTCAGAGAGGGATGTCTCTCACTGGAGCAGTCTTCTAAGGGTTCTGATTTTGTGCTTCCGATGTTCTGTCACTTTCTAGGAGCCAGCTTATGGAGGCTCCCTCCCCGCTCCATTTATCTTCTGATGACTCCTCGCCAATTCAGGACTCTTCACGTCCTACCCTTGCAAAAAGCAGTCACTGTTCTAGTTGTGGAGATCCAGATATATTTTCTTACATCTCAGGCTGAATTCATGGGCATTCAGAACGCTTTGATAGATATCCAGCTAAATTCAAGGAACCAGATGTAATTAGGTCCCCTACTTTTCTGCTATCTTGCCTCGCCTTGAAAAGATAGTCTTTTTAAAAATTGTCCTGTACAATCAGATATCAACACACACCAACACCCAAAAGTATTTTCATCTGGATCTCCTTATCTCACATTATACACTCAAAAGGGATCACAAACCTAACTGCTAAACTCTAAGAACTCTAGAAGAACATTTAAAATTGGGTATTTAAAAAAATGGGTATTCTCCTCAAATTTCTCTATAGGTACAGTACCTATTTAAAAAGCAGGATTTTTTTTGTTTTGTTTTTAGAAATTGACAAGCTAATCTTAAAACTTATATGGGAATACAAGGGACTGAGAATAGCTTAAACAGATTTGTTTAAAAAAAAGATGTTGAAATTATATGCTCTGATTTCAAAATTTATTATGACCTTGAGAGATAAAAACAGTGTAGTAGTGATGTAAGGATAGACATATAGAGAGATGAAACATAATGGAAATATCCACAAATAAAGACTTATATTTATAAGTATTTCCAAATTGACCTTTGAGAGTGGATGAATATTTTTTCCCAATCATCAATAAAGGAAAAGTCACAGTAGGTTTCTGAGTGAGGTTGGGTTACATTTCTGAAGCAATATTCTAGATGTCAAAGCAGTTTTATAAGCACCTTCCTGGGGGCCATTAAAGAGACAGGAGAGAGGCCTCTTCTCTAGGAAGGATTCAGCAGGGACGTGACCAGCCCAAGACCGCCCATCAGTGAGGGAGTCACACTGGGAGGTCTGTGTGTATCTGAGACGTTTGTTTTATGAGCTGGTGAGATCTTCATGACCTTTTACCTTGGCTGGTTTCCTGAATTTGTCGAAGTGCAGATGGAAAGTGATCCTTCCACCTCTGAAAACATTTATTGTGACACAGAGGGAAAAAAAGCCGGATTGACAGTGTGCTAGGAAGCAGGATGGAGGTCAGGTCCTGGGGGGAAATCCTAGCTGTGACTCAGCCGGGGGCAGACCTTGCCCTGCCCCTTGGCGTGGAAGGGAACTGTACAGAGGAAGGGAGGAGGGAAAAGAGAGAGGTCAATGTCTAGGTTCGTTATTCTGATTCCTTGAATGGACAGTGTTTCTCAGGATCCAGATCTGGCTGGGTAGGGGATCCCCTGAATCAGTGACTCCTGGGAGAATCCGAGGCTGGCCCTTGAGGTAGCTCCCTGCTGGAGATCCCCTGTGGCTGAGGCGAGTGTGACAGTGGCACTATTAACCCTCCCAGTCCTGGGCGGGCTGCCATCCTCCCCCAGGCTCTGCCTGCTGCACTCACAGGCTCTTTGCCTGTGGATGCCCCATGGTCTAGGCAGGTCCCCCCTCCAGGGAGGCTCCTAACCGCATATGGGCCCAGACTATCCTTGCTCATTCCTTACAAGGCTACTCGCAGGCTCTGCTTTCCTTGGTCTGTCTGCACCCCTTCCCTGATGTGTGCCCTCCCTGTAACGCAAAGGCGTGCATGTCAAGCCCCCCTTCTTTTCCACTGGGAGGAGATGAGCAGAAGGACAGCCATCGAGATGTGCACCTGAAGACTTGTTCACCTGCTCCTCCCGATGTGACTGTGGGTGAGCTCACTACATGCCCCGCAGTGGGGAAACAGACACTTACCTCATTAGAAAGCTAGAACAGTGCATCAGGGGCCATTTACAAACACCTTGTGCAGCTCCTGAAGTCTAGCAAGTACTCGTTAAATGTTATTTTCCAATTTTGTAATTCACTTACTTACTCATTTTTTTTTTTTTTAGTTCATTCGTGCATTCGGTAAATGCTAAGTATTTAGTGTACCAGACAGCATGCCTGGGAAGTGCTAGAGATCCAAGTTAGTCAAGACACAATCATGGACCCCCTGCCCCAGGTACCCAGTGTTTCATGGGGGCGAGTAGACAAATAAAGAGATGATCTTCCTGCTGGAGACACTTGTTCTGAGGGGCTTGGGGAAGGTGAACGATTGGACAGAGGATGGGCACATGATCCAGACCAGGACAGGAGCTAGGGAAGGCTTCCTGGAGGAGGCACAGCTTACCTCTTGTATCTGTGTAAATCCCTGACACCGGGTAGAGCTGGAAGGAGATGCATGCTCTCTGACTTGGTGGCAGGGAACTTGGAACCATGCACAGAAGCTGCTAGACTTGCAGATCCGCAGCTCGGATCAGGGCTGCGGGTACGCTCTAACAGACACCATCCTGAGAAACGTGGTTCCTGGGCTCTCTGTGCAGGAGCTTTTCTCCAGGTTCCCTGCTTGCCTGAGAAAGGAGATCATTGCCCCAAGATGGTGTAGGCTGCCCAGGCAGGAAAGACTAGAAGGGGGAGGAGGAGAAGAATGATTTCATGCTAAGCAGCTTTAGATGCCTCCTCTCTGCTTCTTTTTCCAGGAATGAGGCAAAGGGCTAAGAAGGTAACGGGCACAGATGAAATGTGGAAGTGAGGAGCCTGGGCTTTTGAGGTTCCCCTCTCTTCCTGCTGTGGACTTGCTCCTGGCCTCCGTCCACCTGCTCTGACCTTTTCTGCTCAGTTACTGGTGATGTTTCAGAATTCGCAGATCCTATTGGCTGCTGCATGTGGGGTGGGGAGGGCGGGGGCACAAGCTGCAGATCCAAGATCACAGTCCTGGTTTCTGCACAGAGTGGATTGTAGGAGCCTGAAGAGGCCTCTGAAGGGAGACTGGCAGGGGCCACTTCTTCCTGTCTGTTCCATCAGACACTCTTCTCCCTCCTTACTCATCCTATGTGTTTGAAGTAACGTCTACCCCAAAATACATTCAAATACAAATTTTCCAAGTTTATGGCTATCTAATAAGAGCTTGAAATAGGAGAACATGATTTATGTTGAGTTTTTTGAAAGCCCGGACTGGTTCTTGGATCCCATTACTCTACATAGGCACTTCTAGAAACCAACGTTCTCCAGGATGGAAAGTCCTGCAGTAAAATGGGATCATTTGACATCTACTGGTGCTGAAGATACGGTAAATGGCCACTAAGAACACAGCAAAGAAGATGATAGTGTCATTTTTATGGGATTTTTACTTTGAAAAAATTGGGAGTTCCTTTCATAAAGGCTTTCTTGGAGAATATGTTTTGTGGTGCTGTCCTGGGAGTTTTGGGGGAGGACAGGGATTCCTCTGGAATGTTAGGAGGATCAGAGTAGTAAAGTAAATTCTCTGAGGGCACACGGCCTGTGCCCTTCCTTCTTGTCTGATCCAAACCTCCAGAGCCGGGGAGGAAGGAGCAGCATGGGTGTGTGTGAGATCACAGAGCACAGGGAGTAGGGAGTGTCCAGCAGTAAAGGCGGGGAAACAGAGTCACCGCAGTGCAAGAGCCGATGTGTATTGTTCTGCTACATGGGAGGTGGGCTTGGCCCTTGATTGTTGGGCCAGGATTGTTCTAAGTACTAGGTTTGGGCAGCCGGTTCTGGGACAGGAACAGTAGAGTACTAGAGAGCTCAAGACCCAGGGATGTAATGTCCATTTTACAAACTGTGTTCTGAATTCTCGCCAATCATTTCACGTTCACTGGAAAACAGACATCTCAGGTGGTGAACAGACTTGCCCAAGTTAAGGGAGCAAGTGGCACCCCAGGACTGAAATTTCTGTCTCTTCTGAGAGTAGACTGTGTATCCTGTGTGATCTGGAGACATGCCTCCCACTCTGCGTGGCTGGTATGAACTCTCTGGTCACGGTCTCATCACTCCTCACGGACTCTACATCCTCGCCTGGGCCTCCCACTCTGCCCGGCTGGTGGGAACGGGCTGATCATTGTCTCATGACTCCTCAAGGACTCTACGTCTTCTCCTGGGCCTCCCACTCTCCCCAACTGGCTTGAACAGGGTGATCACAGTCTTATCACCCGTCATAGACTCCTATGTCTTCTCCTTGGCCTCCCACTCTGCCCGGCTGGTGTAAACTAGCTGATCATGGTCTCATCACCTGCATGGGCTCCTGTGTCTTCTCCTTGGCTTCCCACTCTTCCCAGCTGGTGTGAACAGGGTGATCATGGTCTCCTCACTCCTCACGGACTCTACATCCTCTCTTGGGCCTCCCACTCTGCCCGGCTGGTGTGAACAGGCTGCTCATGGTCACCTCATTTCTCATGGACCCTACATCCTCTCCTGGGCACCCTTGCTCTCAGGAAGGCCCCTGAGTAATGCATGGGGCAGGTTCTCAAAAGCAACGGAGAGGACCATCAAGTAGTAAAGGTCTTGAAGTGGGTGAGGCTGTAGGCTGGGCAGTCATAAGTCAAGACTGGGAGTGGTGAGTTGTTAAGTGGGGACATTCTCCACAGAGAAGGACCATCCTATGTTGGGAAGAGGACGGGTGGAATGGATGAGAGGAGTGTTTTGATCAGAGAGTATTCTCTGTGTGTATTGACTCTGTCCAAGCGAAAGTGAAAGAAAATTCGTGACATCAAGGGAGAACAAAGGGCGTGGGCACAGTGGCTCAGGCAGGGGATTTCCAGCTCAGCTCGTACATAAGCTGGACGCCAGTCCTATTCCTCAGCCTCCTGTGTCTGCTCTGTTGGCTGTAGACATGGCATCTGGTACTTCCTGCCTCCATGTAAACTGGGGTTGAAAAGTGGGGATGGGGAGAGGGAAAGCACCGCCAAGGGTTGGGGAGTGATTTCAGGAGTCCAGGAGGGACAGAGCTCGGGGAGGTGGGGGCAGAGCGGCTGGGAAGGCATCCTGCAGGGGCTGCGACAGGCTCTGATCTCTATAGAAGCTGAAGGAAGGTTCTGGGAATAGAAGTGGCTCGTTTGCCTCCTCAGTGCTCTTCTGTGTCAGGCCTGACTGGGCCCTGTTAGGGGAGGATGGTGGGAAGTGGGAGTGGGCTTTGGGCCCACAGGGCTGGATTTGAACCTATGGAAATGTTGTCTGGAGCCCTTTCTCCTCCTTTTGATTAGGGTCTCTTCAATACCTTCTCCTCCCAAAAGAGAGGTACACAAAACTCATTCATTCTAAGGTGTTAATGACCAGATCCATGAGCCTATAAGGAGCGTGTGCAGTACATGTGGGCTGGCATCGGGGGGCTGCTTAGCACAGAGGGGCTCGGTTCTGTGAGGAAATGTCTTGACGTCCAGACTGCGAAGATGGTTTTGAATAGAGCAGGAGGGAGGTCCTCCCAGGCTTGCCAGCGACAAAACAGGCTGCACTGGCCAGCTTCAGACTATGGAAGGAAGACCTTGATCTGGCCCTGCCTTCTGTTGAGTGAGGCCCTGGTCTAGCTGCAGGAGACCATATTCTGCAATAGGTAGATAGAAACACATGGGAAGTCCAGGGGAACAAGTCACACTGAACACAGTGTCACCATAATGTGTGAGTCATTACACGGCCATAGGACAGTAAGAAAGAAACCAGGAGTACGGAGGGTATGTGTCCTGTCCAGGGTCTCCTTCTAAAGTAGTCATGGAGGGCAGTGCATAAGTGTCCCATGAGCTGACGAGTCGATGATTCTCTCTGGGAGCTGTTGTTGGCGTCCGCTGCATAACTGTGCGTGCTTTGTAATCGGATTTAGTTTTTGACATTTGACAACCTCCTATCTGGATAGGAGGCTTGCAAAATGTGGGAAATCACTGATGACGTTGGGATGAATGAGAAGTATGGCTGTAAAGGAAAACGATGATTTTCCTGAGTTAGAAGCTTGAGATTCTCAAAGAGAAGTTCCACAAAAGGGAGGGACAGAGCCTGTTGTATAGGAGCTGGAGGACCAGGCAGGCAGGGAAAGGGGGGGCCGGGCAAGGAGGGGACAGTGGTGTAAAGGTGGCAGGCGTTCCAGGCACCTTGATTTGTGGTCTCTTCACCTCCGTTGTCCAGGTGACGGTCTATTCTGAGGGAAGGACATCAATGACATTTGCTGCTAACTCGGAGGACACAGTGAGGAAGATCAAAGAACACGTCCGGGCTAAGACCAAGATTCCCGTGCAGGACCAGGTCCTGTTGCTGGGCTCTAAGATGCTGAAGCCCCAGAGGAGGCTTTCGTCTTACGGCATTGACAAGGAGACGACCATCCACCTCACTCTGAAGGTGGTGACGCCCAGTGATGAGGAGCTGCCCGTGACTCTTGTGCAGTCACGTGATGGGGGTCAGAGGCACCACCTCCAGGTACGAAGGTCCAGCTCAGTGGTCCAGGTGAAACAGATGATCGAGATCAAGACAGCGATCGCGCCTGAGCAACAGATTGTGACTTGCAATGGCAAGAAGCTGGAAGACGGGAAGACCATGGCGGATTACGGCATCAGACGGGGCAATTCACTCTGGCTGGCAGACTACTGCATTGGGGGGTGAGCCTGCTGTTAGCTCTCACTCCCCCCACATCCTTTGATGATTTCCCCAAATTAACAAGAAAGAGAAAGAGGGAAATTTAGGGGTGAAGTGGGAAGGAAGACTGCAGAAAAGTTTCTAACTCTATGATTTTTTGATCGAACACAGTTGATTAGGTGTCTGCATTGTGTGTATTACTGAAAATAGAAAATAGTATTTTAAGGCACAGTAGAGATAGCATCAAAGCCAGTTTGGAATTTAATCCTTTCCCTCATCCCTCTGATTTTTAGAAAAATTCCTATTTCTTCCGTCCAACAGGGTAGTAAATTCCACATTGGGATCCATGTTCCCCCAATTTCTGTGTTCCCACCGACATATTGCATCTGTAATACCACTCCATATGTTGAATTAAATTGAATTTCTGCTTGTAGAGAACAGTGAAATGATTTATATTGAAGTGTGTTAACTCCTCTCATATGATTACAATCTACGTAATAAAGAATTTTCTTCTCTGTCCTTATTTAACGTTGTTTGGCAGGAAATGAATCCCGGCACGGTGTGCCATCTTACTCTCTACGCCCCACTCCGATTTCAGCTGTTCTTATTTCTGGAGTTGATGGTGGGCATGGGAAGACACCTCCCCTGGGGACTCAGAGATTTTGTTCTCCAGTGAGGGGTCCCTGGGGGAGGTGTGGTCGTGGAGCCATCTCTGTCCTGCCTGTGTTAGGGTCTAGCAGGTCTACTCTGGGGTGGGGGCATCGTTTGGGTGGGGGCTTTCGGTTGGTCTCTGGGTTGACTCCCAAGGCTGTGCCCCGGTCCTGGCTGACAGAGCCTTTTCCTGGCTGCCTCCTGCGCCCCCCACCCCTGTGTCTGCTCCTCCCTGGGGAATGTGGGTCTCTTCCTGCATCTTCCTCCCTCATTCACTCCTTTGTCTCACTGTCCCTCTTGTGTCTCATGACTGGTCAAGAACACATTTTTCACACCATCTAAGACATGTCTAGTCCCTTCTGCTCTTTAAACTTGCTCAAGAACCACCTTGTACAGAAGAGATCCCAGCAGAACCCCAGCGGCACCCCCCCTACTTAGGGGAATTCCTTGTTCTGCTTTGGGCTCCAGTGCTCTTGGTGGCACTAGTGACCTGGTTAGGTGGGCATTAGGTTGGACTGATTTCCCTGGACGAGCAACTGCAGTTCCTTGTTTTGGACGGCTCTCCGGCAGGGTAGAGTCTGGGATTTCTCTGTCAACTCAGGGACTCCTGAGGCCAGACACTGTGGGGTCTTCACGGTGTGCGCCATCAGACTGGGGGAGAGGGAACGTTAGTTGTCCTGTCCTATAGGATCTTGCCAGCTTATGGACTCTCTGGGCGTTGTCACTGGACCCCTGAGGATGGGGAAGGTCCTCTCGAAATCATGCCCTCTCTCTTCATCAGCTGAAGAGAGCCGGAAAACCACTTCCCCTCCCTGAACCTGTATATAAAGCATAGAGGGATTTTCCGTGAAGCAGAGGAACATTTGGGAGAGGGGAACGGAGAATGGGGCCTCCCCAAGGACCTCGGACTCCCTGAGGACACATCTTGCCGATTCTCACAGGGAAATGGACAGGCTGAGGGCTCGCTGCCTTCCCAATGGACATTCCCATCCGTGGGCCAGGGGCTCACCCTTTCTTCCCTCACCCGCCCCGCACTCACCGTCCAGCCTGCCCTCTCCCCACACTGCCCAGGAGCTTCCTGGCTGCCCCCTTCACTTCCTTGTTCCTGAGGGTGTAGATGAGCGGGTTGAGGGCCGGGGTGACCACCGTGTAGAAGAGCGAAACGAACTTGCCCCGCCCCTGGTCGTAGCGGCGCGTGGGCTGTAGGTAGGTGTAGATGGCCGAGCCGTAGAAGAGGCAGACGGCGGTCAGGTGGGACCCGCACGTGCCCAGCGCTTTCCTGCGGCCGCCCCGGGACCGCATGCCGCAGATGGCGCGGGCCACGGCGCCGTACGAGGCCAGGATGACGGCGGACGGCAGCAGCAGGATGACCACGCGCGCAGCGAACATCTGGCGCTCGGTGGCGTCGCGGCCGCCACCACAGGCCAGCTGCAGCAGCGCGGGGAGCTCGCAGAAGAAGTGGTCCAGCCGGTGGGGTGCGCACAGCCGCCGTGCGGCCAGGAGCGCGCTCTGCGCGGCGGAGTTGGCCAGGCCGCCCAGCCAGGAGGCGCAGGCCAGCGCGCGGCACCGGCGCGGGGAGGCGAGCGCGGCGTGGCGCAGCGGGTGCACGACGGCGGCCGCGCGGTCCAGCGCCATCACCGCCAGCAGCAGGCACTCGACGGAGCCCAGCGCCAGCGACGTACACAGCTGGGCCAGGCAGCCCGCGCGGGGCAGCCACAGCTCCGCGCCGCACAGGCTGGCCAGCAGCGCGGGCGCCACGCTCGTGGTGAAGCCCGCGTCCACCAGCGCCAGGTGGCACAGGAAGTAGTACATGGGTGTGTGCAGGCGCGGGTCGCGCACGGCCAGCAGAACGAGGGTCGAGTTGCCCGCCAGGGTCAGGAGGTAGCAGAGCAGGACGAGGGCGAAGAGGGCGGGCTGCAGCGCGGGCCAGTCGGAGAAACCCAGCAGGAGGAAGCGCTCCTCGGTGCTGTGGTTGGCCTGCGGGAGGAAACTCCCAGAGTGTTTGGAAGGAGGCTGAGCGAAAGGGTGAGTTTACCCCCAGGGAGCTAAAGAGAGCCCCGCTGGCCGGGGGGAGGGGGGGGCATCCGGGAGCTGGATGGGAGCTAGGGGCCCGCGGGGCGGGGGATCGGATGGGAGGGAGCGGAGCGCACCTCTCTCTCTCAATTACAGACGGGGGCCCTGGCTTTGGGAAGCTAGCCCTACCTCAGTACAGCTTGGCTGATGAATTATTTAGCAGACTCTTTCGGGGAGAAGGAATTTCCACTTGTTGGAAGAACAGACTTAGACTGGGAGAGGGAAGATTGCCCAAGGTCACAGCTAGTGAGTGGCCCTGTGGGGCTTGTAGTCGGGCTTGTCTCCTTTCCAGATCAGTGCTTTTTCTGCTCCTCGCTGGCTTCTCACTGCACTCCTCGGGTCCAAGCAGGAATCTGATCTTCCTCCCATAGACTAGTCCTTCAGATGCTGGAAGACAGATTCCCCCCTGAGCCTCCCTCCCCTCCTTCCAAAGTGTGTAGTGCCTGCGAGTAAGTGCAGTGACCTAGGCTTGGTAGAGCTGTCACTTGGAGATTAGAACCGTCTATCTCCTTCTTTGTTTCAGGGATTCTACTTCTGAGAATACAACCATTAACTGCTGACTACTGAGTGCTACTCTGTGGGGAGTCTGTGTTCTAGGCTGTCACCAGCGTCCATGCCCCTCTGGCTTCTCCCTAGTGTGATGGTCATGATCTGGGGGCCTTGAAACCCAGAGTTCTCTGGCAGAACACAAAGCTAGAAGTCCTGGGTCCCACCACCATAATTGCCTTGGGCCAGTTGGATTATTGATATGGGGAGGTCACTGCATTTCCCTTTGCCTTCGTCTTCCACATGTAAGAGGAGGAGTCTGACCTGGATGATCTCCAGGGCTCCTGTCTTATAGCCTGGCTCTCATTGGGAAAAAAAAAATTGTCCTTTGAATGAAAAGGGGACCCAACACAGAAGGCTTTAACCCTGCAGAGTGACATTGAGTCACATTTCCTAATGGTACAGAAACCATACGGTAGATGCGATGACTAAATGTTACAGTGAAATCTCGCTCCTGCACACTTCTTCGCAGGTGTGCAGAGATAGATAAACTTCGTAGTCACTATTCTGAGTTTTAAAATCACGAGACCCTAATTTTCTTCAAAATGTTTCAGGAAAATCTCTTTCCTCCAGAGAATGTCGTGCTTTTAGGGTTCCATTTATGCTCAGGAGACGGAACAGGTGTTCATGGTGTGAGTCAGAGCAAGGGTAGGGGTGTCAGACTGCCCGAGCTCCAGTCTCGGCTCTGCCATTTCCCAGCGGAATGACCCTGGGCACGTGGCTTCACCTGTCTGTGGCTCCGTGTCCTCACTTGAAAGTGGACTGTGTGGAGGGGGTGAAGCACGGAGAGCTCTCAGAACAGGCACGGACCAAGTGGGCGTTTAGTAAGTGCTCGCTCTTATCATCTGCACCTGCGAGTCAGGAGAGTTCTGTGGGCACTCCCACAACAGTTAGGGCCAGAGCCAGCTATGATTTTAGGCTTTTTATTGATGAACTCTGGTCTTTACTCACCTGGAAGTGAGGCAATACTCCTGTTCTAAGAGGAAGGTAGACGGGGGGCTGAGGTTAAATAACTTGCCCGGGCCACACTGTTTGTAAATGCTTGTCAGTATTTCACCCAAAGCTCACTAATTCCAAGAGCCTTGCTTTACATCTGTGCACGTATGTTTAAGCCCGGCTCTACTCTGCCAGAGGCTGCGGAGGATGGAAGGACATGCAAACCCCGAGCTTGCTGCAGAGCACTGGGGCCATCAGGGAGAGGAATACAGGCGAGAGCTGACATTCAGGCTTGCGGCCCAAAGGTGCTAGAGACGTTGTTCTAGAGAGTCCAGTTTTCTAATTCTGGGATCACATAGAGACACACCCGTTCAGCCAGCCAAGCCCTGAACAGTTCCGCTCCAGACACACCAAACCCCGAAACCAGGCGCAGAACAATAAAATCACACAACCAACACCAGTACCCCATGGACACACACATTCCCGAATACTCAGACACATATGTGCACATACGTGTCTCCTCATCGCACCCTGGGGCTTCCAGAAGGCAAATCTGTTGTCAAAATATTCCAGGATGTGTTCCCAAACCTCATTCGGTATTCTAGAACGTGCACGGCATCTACAAGACCCTCTTCCTACCTTCATGTCCGGGTCTCTGGCACTGATGTTCTGCCGCTTCTTTCCAGATGATCAGTTGGTCTGTTGTGTCCGCTCCGGATCCTCAGAGTTGGATAAGGCTGTGGGGGTGGGGGGGATGAAGGAGCGAATGGCATGACTGTTGATTTCGAGACTGGGTGCCTGAGGTCAGAGCCAGGTCCTTCCTTCGGGAACAGGACGTGGGGTGGCGAGCCCCTTGCTTGTCAGCCGAGGTGTGAACATAAGGTCTTCAGCAGAGAAGCCGGCCAGGTCTGGAGAAACACCGAGATTCAGGCAGAGTGGCGGTGTCTGTTCCCAGAGAGCCGGCACCAGGGTGAGCCCAGGCAAGGACTGGCGTCTTGGGCCAGTCGCAGGTCGGCGGTGGCTGAAGCTGGCTGCGGAAACCGCTTTCTGGATTCTGAAGGCTCCGGAGCCGTGCAGTGGTGATGTTGGTGAGCCGCTCACCGGAGAGGAGTCGGGGAAACGATTCTCCCTGCTATTGAGAAGAGA